TGCAGGTGTTGGGAGGGCAGTCTCATCCTTTGCACAGTTCTTTTTCATAGTACTGCTCATTTGCTTACTCTGCCTGTTTCTCCAGTTGCCTGATTCATTGTTCGTGCTAATAATGCTTCCTCAGCGGCAATATAAAACTTCTTCCACAGCGAACTCTTTTGTTCTGTCACCAGGCTATTGGCATGACCATGCAAATGTTTTAGAGAACTGATACATTAAAAAAAAAAGGCCCAAAAAAACCCCAGGGAAAATGGTAGGGTTTTGGTTGGATCAGTTTTCCAGTCCACTTTACTATATGGCTGCATGGGCAGCACTTCTAGCACAGTGGTGGAGATGGAGACAAAATGTGGAAGGGGTTATTTGAAGGAGAGGTGGCTGATGAAGCCTGTTTCTTTCATCCCCAGGATATGCTTCCTATGCTGTTTTAAAGGAGCCTAATTATTACAGAGAGGATGTCTTTGTCTAACTTTTAGAACACTAACGAAATCACTGTAAAAGAGGTTTAGTAAAAATTATTTTGACTTTGGTTACAGTCATTACAAATTTATAGAAAAGGAAGACTATGAATCACTTCTTTCTTTCCCCCTCCCCAAAAAGTTACTTTTGTTTTTGCTTTATAAATCAGCTTGACTCAAACACCCATGTATTGTGTGTAAATGGCATTCATTTAGACTGTTTTCAAAACCAACGTGTCAAGTCTATCTGCTGCAAAATTTCTGTTGGGGAGGTGTGTATTGAAGGTTAAATATGAGAGCTGTATTCTAGGGCTTGGTAATTCCTGGTTTATGTTGATAAATCAGCTGAATGGCTGAACTTAGACAATAAATGTAGATTTAATTTGCAGCATGAAGGGGAGAAAAAAATCAGATTTTTTTTTTTAGTCACTTAATCTAATGATCAAATTTTATTTTATTTACGGTTGATTCCTGTAATACACCTGATTAAGAAGCCTTAAATATCAGGTTTTGTAATAAATTCAGCTTTATTTATTAGAAAGTCAATAATTATGCACTTAGGTAGAAACCACTTCACTAGATAAATGCAGGAAAACTAACTTTTCTTTAAACTTATTGGTGACAGCTGAATCTCTTTGCAAGACTCAAAATTTAATTTAGGGACTGTCTGCTCATGCTATTTAGCTGCAGAAATCCTTTGACAAGGGCATGTTACTCTAGTTTTGCAGCTGAGTTTGGTAATGACATTAGAAAGAAAAAGAACTGTCTATTAAGTGAAATTAGGAAACTGCTTTCTGCACCTCTTTGCTGGCTTGCTTGTAGATACTAAGCAAAATCCCTTTTCTGGGCAGAAATTTGAGCTACAAATCAGTTTTGTGTCAAGAGCAGGATCTGTGAGCATAGTTACAGGAAAGTTAAAGGCATTTTAATTTTTGAACAATTAAGTTCAATGTCTATGCAGAATTTTCCTTGGAGAGTTGTGTAATTTGTGGGGAAAAAAAAAAAATTCTCTGGAAGATCTGCTCGATTGCGGTCTCACCAGCTAATTATGTGATGACAGGGTTGTTGAGTAATTTCAAATGATCTTTTGTAGTTACAGACATGAAACTTAAGTGTCAGAGCTGGGAACAGAACTCAGATCTCTTATTTCCTGCTGTGACTACAGTCAAATCACTGAGGTTGTCAAGGATGTGTCCTTCTCCAACCATAGCTCTGACACCTGAAGAGCTTCTTGTTCCCAGCCTGCCTTGTTCGTGTGTTGCTGTCTCCATAGATCTGGTGACTGCACAGCTTCTGCACTTTCTCTGTGGTAAATTTCAACAAAACAGAGTTAAATGTGTATAGATTGCATTTTTAAGCTGTTTTAGCTGCACCTGTAAACTCGTATGGTTTCAGATTCTGGTTTGGAAAAGAAATTCCTCACTTCTAATAGGTTGAGTCTGCTTCAGTGGAGGTCTCTTCCTCTGATAGAAGTGCTTGTGCAGTTAGGCTTGAGTTGAACGGAGGTCTTTTCAGAATAAAAGTGTCATTAAACTCATCAACTTTCAGGTGCTCAGATAGTGGCCTAAAAAGGGCATATAAATACTTCAGAAAACATTCAGTGATACCCCAGTCACTCTGAAATTTTTCATGTATCTTTTAATAACTTTCAGCAAGTGACATGGAGATTAGCATTTATCACCATCAGAAGACTGCCAGGCACTTTCTATGCTTTTTCTGGTGTTTTTTTTTTTTTTTTTCCTGCTTTACATCTGTTTGGTTTAGAGTGGAATTTTATCAGGCTGTAGAGTATGACTTTTCAAAGTGAGCATGCCTGGCATTTTGTGAGTGCCAGACATTTTCTGAGATAGAAAAGAGCTGTGTACCTGGTCTTACTAATTAAGCACTTTTTTTTTTCTTGCTTGCAAAACGCTTTTATTGTGGCATCTTCTGGGTTGAGTTAGAAATAATGTGTTACTAATGCCAGATATCTGAAATGCTTCTGCTGCAAACAATGTTTTCTTTTTAAATTTTATGTCAGCATTTAACAGGTACCTTTTTTTTTTCATCTTACTTTCATGCTTGTGTTTCTTAAAGTTGCCAACAGTTCCTTTATTTTTGCATTTGGCACCCTATATATTTTTCCCCATCCTTTCCCCTATCTGCTTTTTGTCTCCCTGCTCCACCCTTATCTTTAAACAAGCTTTCAGGGTGGATCATGTGACTAGAGCAGCCTTCCACTGCTTGCCATCTAAAGTTTGTTCTCCTTCAAATCTCTTTGAAAAATTCCCCTTCCTTTCTCCCTTCTTTTTTTCTGGACATCTTTCTTTCTGAAGCAGAATGTTTCTGTAGTAATGATGCGAAATACAAAAATTTGTATGTTTTGAAAGTTTATTTTATTATTATTCCTTTACTTTAAAATGACACCATTCTGAATGTGAACATACCTAATGTTCTGTGTTAGAACTCGTGGATTAGAGAAAATTCTTGGTTGGTTATACCAACCATTTTTTATGTAGCTCGTTGCGCTCACTGTTCTTCATCCTCTGTAGTTAACTGGTACAGAAGTATCTTCTGTTGGAGTTCTGCCAAGTGTCAGGTTTTATTTGATGTGGATCAAGGTCTGAGCCTGGTTGCACAAGTGGAGCAACACAACAGCAAAGGTGGTTTCCTCACCTCCGGTAATGGAACTGGTAATGCCTTATCTAGCTCTTTCATCAGTTGTCCTTTCACTTGGCATCACAGAACAAGGAGACTGTGTATACAGTGCAAAGTTGGTGCTAAGATTAGGAATGTGACGCTGGTGCTGAAATTCACGATGGACGATCATTGATTCCCTATCAAACAACTTAGCAGTTCCAAATTTAATTTCACTAGTTTATTCCATGTCTAAAAGCTTTTTGTTTTTTATTTTAGTAATTTTGTTGGCCTGTTATCTGAATTATTAATGTCTGGCTGCTTGTCTTTTGCCTTCACCTGCTTCTCCAGGTTGGAACATTAGAGCTAGGAGGGGTTCTGGTGAGTCATGTAGCCCCAGGAAAGGCTCAATTAAAGATAGACTTGAACGACCTAGATATAAGCCCTTGTGTTACAGAGACATTGCAGTCTTCCCACGTGACTTATTTTGGTTTTTAATTATTCCTTTCCGTAAGAAAGGAATTTTTGTTCATGTTTCCAATATCCAAAGTAAGTTTTCCTAGCTGCAACTTAAGCCTGCTTCTGTTCTTCTTTGTCCTTCAGATTTTTCTCTGTGGAACAGTCGTTTAGATGTCGGAAGATGTGCTAGTATCTCACAAGTTTCCTCTCCTCTGGGCTAAATGACTGTAATTTGTTTTCTTTTTGCTTTTTAGATTGTTCAGCCTTGTGTTATATGCCATGTTTTCGGGATCTCTTGTGGCTTGTGTTCCACTCCTTTGGATGCTGTCCAGTTGGTTCATAGTGCTTCAACTGCAGCTCCCACTTCTCCAGCCTCCTTAGTACTGAAGGCCTTTTTCTCAATGGGGTGACATTACTGACTCGCGTTCAGCCTGAGAACAGCTACAGCCTTTCGATCTTTTTCTACGGAGCTCCTATACGGGCTTTTCTTCTCTTTTTGTAGATGCGTTTAATTGTGTCTCACTGCTGTATCTTTCAGTCTTCCGTGCATCTGCTTGGTCAAGATGATTTTGAATTTTCTCTTGTCGTTCGGTCGTCTTGCAGTCCTGAGGGAGTGTCACCTGCAAATTTAATACCTGTATTCCCCTTCCCCTTGCAGGGGCAGTTGATGAAAATACTGACCATTAGACCTGAAACAGGGCTTTAATTCCAAGTGACCTCACTCAGATCTTCTGTTTTGGCAGGAAACTATTGATAAGTATTTCTGAGTATCCCTTTGGTTTTTGTTGTGTTTTTTTTTTTTTAATGAGGTTTTTTTCAGTGTTGCTACAACTCATGTATGAATTGGTGGTAATGACAGGAACTTGCATTTGAGGTTAGACAAAATGTTAGTTCTTGGAGATAAAACTTGTTTGGAAAAGTACTGTTGTCTGGTCAGATGCATATTTTTGGGTTTTTTTGGTGTTTTTTTTTTTTTTAAGCTGGTGAGAATCTTTTCAAAACCCAGTTATCACAGTGTACTGGTATGGCTTATTTGTTTCGACCTTTTACTTTTCTCATAATCTGTTTTATTAGGGTTATCATGATGTGGCTGTGAGGTTTTGTAATTTATATGTGTTCATCTCCATTTCTGTTTCTTCTTTCTTAAGTTTCACAGAGCTTTGAATTTGCATGGTACCAAGCATTCTCTATCCTTTTTGAGACTTAGGATTTTTTTCTTTTGTTTTCCAGGATGAGTACACAACCTCAAAACCGAGAATATTTTTTTTTTTAATTTTTTTCCTCAATTTTTGAAAATTCTCTGGACACAGCAGAATTTAATCTACATTGAAAAGCTATTATTCTAAAACTGCTGCTTGATATCTGGATATAATTTTTCAGTACAAAGATAAGAATTTTACAGAACTACAGTTAATAAAATAGTCTTTCTTGATAATATTTTTTTATTATTATTTTGTGTTTTAGGGTTTTGACCCACCGCATCAAAGCGATACAAGAACTATTTATATAGCAAATCGTTTTCCCCAACATGGCCATTATGTTCCTCAGAAGTTTGCGGACAACAGAATCATATCCTCCAAGGTAAGGAATCAATTTGGCATGGGAAAACCACTTGATACGTTACTTGAAGTTGTGTAGAAAATGTGCATGTGTATATTATGTCTTAACAGTGCATATACAATATTTGGAATGAAAGAAGCTGTAAACTTCTTTGAGAAAAAAGCTAGGTTGCTTCCTATGTAGTTTTTTTTCCTGCCTTCCCTCTTTCCTCCTCACCTAAGTACAGAACAGCTGAGCATGTTGGTCAGAGTTTCTGAAGAAAAGTAGTTTTTATGCCATTGTTGCCTGTGTCTGGATGTGTTGTGCAGAACCACCCGAAAGGAAGGATGAAGCTGCGTGTGAGGATTTACAAAATAGCTAGATTGTAAGCTAGTACTCTGCATAAAGTACATCAGCAATGGACTGCAATTGCAGATTCCCTCCTAGTGTGACCTTGGATTGGAATCAGTAGAACTGATGGTGGGGATGTGTCTTGTCGCTGTAGTGTAGGAGAGAAAGTTACAGCTGCAAGAATTAATTTCTTCTCTGCTACCGAGGTTGCAAGCAGCCAAATGACTCCAGCTGCTCCTGTGCCAGTTGGTAGGAGAATATTTGAAACTTTGACTGTGAAGGCAATGCAGCTGCTACCCCTGCTTTCCTGCTAGCTGTGCTTGAAATAAATAAATAAATAAATAGCTTGAGTACAGCAGTTCTGTGTGGGAGTAGGGCAAAACCAGAAGAAGGTTTGGGGGAGGGGAGGTGGAAAATGAGGAGATTTAGGTTGAGAGAGTTCAATGCCAGCAGAACTGAATTTTGCTGAAAAATTCTTCAGCATGTCATAACTGTTCTTTTCTCTCTCCCTTTTTTCCTATCAGTATACAGTGTGGAATTTTGTTCCAAAAAACTTGTTTGAGCAGTTCAGAAGAGTAGCCAACTTTTATTTTCTCATTATATTTTTGGTTCAGGTAAGTTGAGTAATACTCAGGAAATGGCAATTTATGTTGTAAATTCTGCTGCTTATTTTTGTTCTATGAATTTAACTTCTATACTTACATGTTCTGTCTATAAAACCAGCACATATGCAGTTTCTCTGAGAGAATAGCATAACCTTAAAAAGAATTATGTCCAAATTTAAGTACTGTCCTTAGATTTTTATCTTCATGAATGCTAATATGTTTAAGTGTGCACCTTCAAAGTCCACTGTGCTGCCAGCACAGGGATGCAGTTGTCTGCCTCAAAATCCAATTTAAAATCTGTTAAGTTAATAATAAAATTCCAGATAGGCTTTTTTATTTTTGTGGACACTGATGGTGTTTGAATAAACCAGGAGTTTTACTCTGTGCATTTTTAAGTGCCTCTTGGACATCAGTGCAGAAATGCAGACATTCAAGTTCACTTGCATCAAATTGGGCAGTGTGCTTGCTCTTGAGCTGAGCATAGTGTATATTCTGATTGTAGGTGGAATTTTGCTTTTGTGAATCCACACACTATTGTCTCACAGTTCTAAGATCCTCGAATTCCATTTGTTCAGATAAAATGAACACAGAAATTTACAGCTAGGATTGACAGTTTGTCGGTTTTGAAGACACTTGTTAGTGCTGTCATTGATACAGCATAGGTCAGCAATATGGCTGTGGCTCTTGTAGCAGAGTATATTTGTTCTAATTAAGAACATCCACAAGTATGTTATGACAGTCTGTAAATTTTGTGTGATCTTTGCACCTCCAACTCTGTAATTGTACTCAAATTCTGTTGAGCTATTGGAGACTTAGTAGATGAAGGAGAAGTGGGAGAAAGGTTGTAAGGACAGATGATATCTTTTGAAAGACAAATTAGTATCTGAGTTAGTAACAAGATTTGGGGTACACAGACTTTTCTTTCACTATAAAATAGAATGCTTTGGACATGTACAGCCCTCCACAGTGATTAACCAACATGGACGGTATGCATCTGAATAAGATGGTACCTTGTTTAACAAAAAACAGGAATAGTGTAGAGTTCATAAGATTTGTCTGTGATTCTGCAACATGTCAGTAGCAGGAACAGTTCTGCAGTTTTTAATCCATTGCCTCCTGTGTCTCTTGCTCTTATTCTTTTAGATTTCAAAAGGATGAACTTTCTTAAGAGGCTGAGAATTCCTGTGTTGGGAGTTACTAAAGTCATATAGATCTAACTTAGACTAACAGAATGTGTTGCCCATTCTAGTTAAGAATATTGACTTTGTCGTTCCTGTTGTGATGTTTCGTGCTGTTGAACATATTGTAGCACGAGGAAGATGTGGGCATGCTGGAGATGGAACGTAAATATTACTTAAAGTAACCACAGATGGTGTTGGATTTTTAAAGCTTTTATTTCTTTTTAATGCAAATTTATCTCTTTAGTACAATTTTGAGTCACATTCCTTTCAAACTGTTAGACTTCTGTAATATCTAAATGTGATGTCCACGAACAAATATGGATCTAAAGGCAGAACTGCTATTGAGAATGTAATCCTGGTCTTCTCTCACTTTGTGACTCAAGTGGATGCCCTAATTTGTATGGGAAATGTCTTGTCTATATGTCTGTGTTCTTGGAAACAGAACAGGAGAAAAGCTGTGGTCATTTTTGTTCGTTTGTTAGAATGGAATTCTGGTTTTACTCAAATCCCATTTGGAAGTTCATCAATATCTAATATTTTTTCTTTTTATAAGGCAAGGGTGCCTTTAAAAGTTGATCACCATGGTATCTTCTGTGTCATATGAATCTCATGTGACCAAGACGCAGTGTCTGTCATTACCACCTTATTCCGCTGGGGATGACAGAGCTGGGGTGAGTTCTCATGGTGTGATTTAAACATGCAGCACAATCCGGTCCACATTGTTCACCACACATATGCATGCCAGAAACATGGTGACAGACTGTATTTTGGTCACATGAGGCTCCACACCAGTTGTGTGATGGATGCATGTCCAGCTGTGTAGCAGGCAAAGGGCCACGGTGTTCTGGTGAGAGAGGCAAAAGGAGCAGGCTGCCATGACAGTTCCAAAAGCAACAAACTTGCTCCGTTTTCACATATGAGCCTTCTTGAGAAAGAAGGAGAGAGTGTAGATGGCAGAAATGTCGTGGTAACCCTACCCAGCCAAAAATTGGATGCTTTTGTCATGGGTTTTCTTGAACAACATTCTGCCAAGCTGAAGTTGCAGTGCTATAGTTGAAGAATAGACAATATTGGTCTGATTTTTGTTGTATTCTATAAACTGTCTGTGTTTCAGTGGAGGGGGGAAAAAAAAAAAGCTCATGCATGTGTTGTAGGGTGACATAATCTGTTTTCTCTATGAGGTTTCTTGGCTCTTAACAGAGTAAGCTTCATGTATGGTTTTTTTTTTTTTCTTCTTTAATGGTTCCCAAAGCAATGCCATAAGTCTCAGGTAAAGTGAATAAAATCAGTGTCTGTGGTTTTGAATAGTTCTTGTGTACATTTTCTTTACAGCACTTGACCATGTTGTTTTTATTCCTGCAGCAGAGGAGAACCACTAACATTCCCTCCACTTACAGAGTTTTAGTGTATACACTGCACTTTTGGCATGCCAGCAATAATAGCACAAATTGTAAAAACTGCATGTTAACTTGGGGGAGCTGGAAAGGAGCAGTTTCAGAAAGTGTTCTCTAATATCTAAACTGAAGGAAATTATTATTTTTAACTTTATTTTCACTTCTGAAGTGGATGTTGTTATACTCTACGTTGCTGTTAAGCAGTAGATTATACGGTATAGAGTATTGAAACAGCTTCACGAAAAAAGGGAAGGGGCTGCTATACCCTATACTTTTGAATTCATCTTTGTAGGATGAAAACATATGTTCCTTTTACTAAGGACTCTTAAAATTGGCACATGCATTAGCGCAGACTTAATCACATTTCTATGGCCTGGAACCACGGTTTGCATCATTATTGACATGTATTATTTAGGTGTCGGGAACTGAGTTTTGCTCCAGAAATACTGCAGAAAGTGCAGTAAAATACAGGTTCTAATGAGGAGTTTGGAAAGTAGTTGTCATCTTGCTTCACTGCAAAAATGAAATTGGGGCTAACTTTCGTATTTTCTTCTCTTTTAGCTCATGATAGATACCCCTACCAGTCCTATTACCAGTGGATTGCCATTATTCTTTGTCATAACTGTGACAGCCATAAAACAGGTAAAGGGAAAAAACCTTGTAGCATGAGGTCTTTCTAAGGTAAAGTTACTTAACAAAGTCTGACCAACATAATGTTTAGATACTAAGAATGAATAAAAAAGGTGTCCTTTTTAGAAAGGAAGTTGTATTTAGTTTCTTGTTAGATGCTTGAACTTGAGTATTTTGGTTAGTTGTCAAGTGCTCAATGACTCACTGTGGTACCCTTAAATGGACAGTGAATACTGTCAGACAGTATTTTTGTCTGAACATTACATGTCACTTGTTATAAGACCTTTTCTGAAAGCTCCTCACATATTCCTTTGGCACACCTCGCTGCGTATTAAAACCAGTCCTCCCACATGACACACTGAGAAAGGAGCTTGGGTAGATGAAGCAATGGTGCAATCCATGTTTGTCAGTAGTTTAAAGGCGAACTTTGCCCCAAGGAATGTATTTCATGCGGTAAAATATATATTAACTGTAATCCTGGACCAGGTAAAGGATCCAGTTTAGAAAGCTTTTGGTTTTGTTTTCTTTTTCGTTGGTTGCATAAAATGTTTTGGAGTGCTTTATAACACTTGAAATAAGAAAAATGTTCTGAGTTTAATAGAAACCTTGTTCAAGCACCATGCTACATTCTACTAAGACCTAGAGACCCTGGAAGGAGAATGTTAAAAAGGAAAGAAGGGGGGGAGGAAAAAAAGAAAGGAAAAATACCTGTTTTCTTTAAACCCTTAAAGCAAGAGGAGAAGGAAGCAAGCACATAAATAAGAGGTGATGCAGATAGAAACTATAATACCTTCTGCAGGGAGGTAATTCTCAGGAACTATCCCCTTCAAAGGGTTTGACAGTGCTGTCTGGGGAAGAGATGCAGTCATAGCAACTGAAAAATAAGCAGGAAACTGTTATGGAGCTACAACTGGAATTTCAATTTGCCTTCTGTGCCAGTAAGAGCCAAAGCCACCCTGAAATAGGGCAAAAATAAAAATAGCTCCAGCTTTCAAGCAGATAGAATGATGTTTTGGGGCAGAAGGATCTTAGTGCTGGAGTAATATTTGAACTAACATTTCATCTTGTTGCTGTGCAATTTGTCTATGGAGAGTGCCCTAATTCTATTCAATTGCAGTTGTTATCATCACCTCCAAAAAATCATGTGTTCAGGAGGTATAGTCATAAGTAGGCAATGGAAAATATCCCTTAAATCTGTGCGAACTGAAAGAGATTGTGTAATAAGTATTTTTTTCCAGAAAGAATTTGGACTTGTGTAAGTCTAAAATAGTCCAAAATAATCTGTTACCACCTTGTTTCCTGTCCGATCTTATATTGGGAAATTTAAGTATCTTCAATTGCAAAGAACAGAGACTCTGGCATTCCTTGTAGAAGTTTCAAATGATTGATGACTTGCCAAGCATCAAGAGTTTTTCTGATTGTCTCAATATCTCTGCAAGGACTATTGGAACCACCTAAACCGATCTAATGGACTCTCATATTTATCCTACCTGCTGCAAAGTAGGCAAACAGTATTCACAAGCTGTTACCTTGGAAAGACAATTCAGTGTGCTGTTTCCAACAGGCTGCCTGCGGACAAGGAAGAAAGAGAAATCTTCTGTTGGAATGCAGAAGGGAAAATACCCAGTATGGTCTCAAAACTAGGTCCCATTTTCTCTCAAACCAGAAGTGGAATAGGAAGCAGATTTTAGGGGAAGAAACGCCTTTTGAAAGCTGCAAGGCACTGGTTCTGTACAAAGTTACATCAGGATAAATGTTAAACTAAACTTAGTAGTCTCTCAAAAGATGAAGGGGAAAAATAGAAGCATTAACCGTATGCAGGTTTGAGGAGCTTAGCAGTGGGTGGAAAAACTATCCCCTGCTTCCAGAAGGCCAGTTAACATGACACCTCTAGCAAACCTCAAAACTTGGCCTTATTTTAATCCCAGACAAGGAGATAGAACCTTTTCGGTTTAGAAGTGTAGTTGCACCTAGGTCAGAAGAAGGACATACAGGACTGCAAAGTGATGCAACTCATGCTGTGTCATTTTCTCTGTCTTGTTAGCCAGAGCACTTTTCTCCTTATGCCTGTGAAGATGCGTATGCAGTCCTCAGAGGAGTACAAAATTAGAAAATAAAATAAATAAAAATAAAACAAAAAATTAATATTAAAAACCCCCAACAAAGTACAATAAAATAAAGGTATTCCTGAGGAACTTTAGAGAAATTAGTCCATTTCAATAAGTTCATAGCTATTTAGCGAACAAGCTGATAGGGCACAGATGTTTACTTGACTGTCAGGTAAATTAGAAACAACTACTTTGCAGGTTTTGGTTAAATATAGACTTAAACTGAGAATGAAGAACCTGGTAATAAAATATGCAGGCCTGTTTTAATTTTGTCTTTTTCTTATGTACATTGATCCAGTTATTTAAGCAGGATTTAAGAATATAATTTAATTGGAGGATTTTAATCTTTAGTTTCTGTTCATAAAAGTAAACCAGCAGTCCCTGTATTCCCGTTGCATCTTTCTTTTTAACAGTGTTTTTGCAATATTGACAACTGAGGGTAATAAACTCTCAAAAATGCCGCAGTAGGTACATTTTTGGGGAATTTAAGTTGACCACAGTAAGTTGGCTCTTAAGAATTCCCTGGTGTGAGGTGTCACCCTTGTGTTGTAGGCAGTAGGTGTCAGATGGAGAAAGCGCTGAAATCTGTACTTTCTAAAGAAGGTAAATTTCAGTTCTTTGCCAAATGCCCATATTGCTCAGCTGTTCAGGTTTATGAGACAAATGCCCCAAGGTTACTGGATGTTAGTTAAATCCTTGTTTTCCTCTGTCAGTCACCTTTAACAAGGAGCTGTATGTACTGACTCTTACTTTTTCATATGATTAGGAAGGACTCCTAGAGAGTCTTACTTAGGGGTTTAGGATTCTGATTTCCCAGTGTCTCTCCATGTGGCTGCTATTACTACATGCTTAATTGTTAATTTTTAAGCAGTTGGCATATAAAGATTCCCTCTTTTATTCTCTTTTTTTTTTCTGCTTCCCTCTGCCTTTTTTTTTCCTTTTTCCACCAAGGTAACACAGTTGTTCTGTCCTTACTCGTTTCTGCTAGTAACAGTGGAGGTACATGAAGGCAGAACTGCAAAACTGTATTTGTAACATACTAAATTCATCATATCACTTTCCTTCAGACTCCAGTCAACTGCAGAATTCTCCAAACTGCATCTGCATTAGTACTTTTTGTGTTGTGACATTCATGTATAATGTTTGTGGTATTCTAGGATGAGTTGGGATTACCTGCTATTTCAGAGGGCCCCCTTCGTCCATCTGCAGACTTCCACAAAAGTGGTTTTAACTTTCACATTTTTATACCTACAGAAAAGCATCTTAAGAAATGTCTCTATTATTGCAAATCAGTTGTAGGAGTCTTGTGAGGATGTAAGAGATAGTTGAACTTCCTGCTTAGATTGATCCATTTCTTGTGCTTGCTTGTGGGTCTTTCCGAACAGTACCTAGACTGTGGGGATCAGAAATCATGCTATTAGATTAAATAAGCAATGTATTAATAGTTTAGGAAAATAGGAGGGGAATAATATACCTGGATTCACTCTCACAAATGTTTGCACGTGTGTGTACATGGGATATTTAGAGGTGCCAAATATCGGTTAAAGGAAAAATGCTTAATTTATCCATTAAAAACTCAGTTGCTGTGAACTGTTGCATTAGGACTCACAAAGAACTAAAAACCTTTCTTCTGCTGTACAGAGTCATACAAAATGAAGAAATCCTAAGATTTCATGCATAGGCTATGGCAGTAACTATAAGAGGAGCTATATGTTATGACATGAAGTAATTTCAGTCTGTTACTTCTCTTAAAAAAAAAAAAAAAGAAATCCATAAGACAGACTGGGAGTGATGTTCCCATTTCTGTGGTATATTAATACATGTAGATAAAAGATTGAACGGGTGCTTGTTCATCTCATCTGCAGAAAATACCACTGCCTGTTTGTTTTAACAGAACATGGGACTATTAAGTTTCTCCACTGCTTTATTTGTATTTACTCATTTGTGTGAAGTGAGTGAAAATTAATTCCCATGTTCTTGAGTAACAGCTGTGTTAAAAACTCAAGAGAAGTTAGTAACTGTATTCAGGCTACACAGCAAGTAATTTGAAGAACATTTGCTTAGATGATATTTGTTATGCTTTATAGGTTTCTTGCTTAAAAAGTAAATTTGCGCTGTACCTGCTTTCCACAGGGTTATGAAGACTGGCTGCGACATAAAGCAGACAATGAAGTAAACGGTGCTCCAGTTTATGTTGTTCGAAGTGGTGGCCTTGTAAAAACTAGATCTAAAAACATTCGGGTATGTGCCTAAGGACAAATTGAAAATTGTGTTTATCGCGTAGCTAAAGCTCTTATTTTATTAGCGATCATTGTGGCTGTTTCATTATGATTCGGTAACAATGCTGAAATGAATTCTTCTCTTTTGAAACTCTATTTGTACACTTCTCATTTATGTTCACTTCATTAGGTGGGGGACATTGTCAGAGTAGCCAA